TGTACAAGCCATAGGTTCCTTTTATTTTATTTTTAAAATCAATATATGCTAAAATTGCCTTTTTGGTAAATACATTCTGTGAGTTTTAGCACATGTATAGGGATAACACAGAAGACTCCCTTGTGCTACTTCTTTGTAGCTATGCCCTCCTCCTGCAGCCAACCTCTGATAGCTGCTAATCTATTTTCCATGACTATAGGTTTTCCTTTTTGAGAATGTCATCTAAGTGGAAGAATACACTAAATAGCCTTTGGAAACTGGCTTTTTCAGCATTTTTCCTTTGAGATTTGTTCATGTTGTATCAATAATTCATTCCTTTTTATTTCTGAGTAGTACATTCATTTACCTATTGCAGTATATTTGGGTTTCCAGTTTCTGGTCATTTGAAGAGCTACTATAAACATTTTTGTGCACATTTTAATGTGAACATAAGTTTTTATTTCTTTATGACAGATACATAGGAGTGGGATTGTTGAGTTGTAGGGTAAGTGAATATCTAATTTGTTGTAACAAGAAATGCCAAACTGTTCCAGAGTGGCTGTACTATTTTGCATTCTCATCACCAATGTGTAAGAGTTCCATTTGTTTTTCACCAACACATGACATTATTAGTGTTTATTTTATGCATTCTAATAGATATAGTAATATTTCATTTCTCTAATGGTTAATGATGTTGAATATTTCTATGTGCATATTTGCTGTCCATATTTCTTTTTTGATAAAGTGCCTGATCAAGTCTTTTGCCCATTTTTAATTGCACTGTTCGTTTTCTTACTGTTGAGTTTTGAGATTTCTTTATATATTCTGGGTATGATTCCTATATTGGTTATATGACTTACAAATATTCTCAGTCTCTGCACTTTGTCTTTTCATTTTAATAGTATCTTTTGCAGAGTAAATGTTTTTAATTTTTATGAGTGCAGTTTATTAATTTTTTGATAAAAAATCAAATTAGATTTTATGAATCATACTTTTGGTGTCATATCTAATTTTTCATTTAATGCCAAGTCACAAAGATTTTCTCCTGTATTTTTCTTCTAAATGTTTTACAGTTTTACATTTAGATCTACTGTTTTGTTTTTGTCTTTTTCTTAATATATATTTTACTAATTATGCTATTACCATTGTCCCATTTTTTTCTCCCCTTTATTTCCCTCTGTGCTGCATGCTTCCTCCCACCAACATTCCACCACCCTTAGTTCATGTCCATAGGTCATACATATAAGTTCTTTGGCTTTTCCATTTCCTATACTGTTCTTAATCTCCCCCTGTCTATTTTGTACCTACCAATTATGCTTCTTATTCCCTGTACCTTTACCCCATTCTCGCCCCTCTCCCTGCCCTCAGATCTACTATCTTTTGAATTAATTTTTGTGTAAGATGTGAGGTTAGGTTGAAGTTAATTTTTTTCCCTAACCTCATGTGAAGTTAATTACACATGAATATGTAATTGTTCCAACTCTGTTGAAAAAACTATCTTTTCTCCATTGAATTGCCTTGTACATTTGTTAAAAATTAATTAGCTATATTTGCATGGGGCTATTTCTGTACTGTATTTTATACCATTGATCTCTTTGTTTTATGCTAGTAGCACACCTATTTGATTATTATAGCTTTATAGTAAGTCTTGAAATTGGGTCGTTTGTTTCTTCCAAAATTATCCTTTTTGATATTTTTTAGCTATTTGTTCTTTGTACATTTCATATAAATTTTAGAATCATTATGCCTATATCTACAAAAAATTCTACTGTAACTTTGATATAGAATTGTGGATTATAATTCCTTTAGCACTTTCAAAATGTAGAGCTATTTTTTCTTGGCTTCATGGTTCTGATGAAAAATCTATAGTCATTTGGATGATTGTTTCATATATGTAATGCATCTGGCTGCTTACAAATTTTTGTTACTGGTTTCTGTCATTTTAATTATGCTGAATCTGGATGTGTATGACTCTTGTTAGGAGTTTTCTCAGCTTCTAGAATGTACATATTCGAAATCTCACTGAACTTGTAAAGTTTTTAGCACTATTACTTCCCTGAAGTAATATTTTTCTGTATAGTATTCTTTTGTTCCTCAGGGACTCTGATGATGTAAATATTAGGCTTTTTGCTCTTTTCTTTAGGCTTTATTCATTTTTTTCAATTATTTTTTTCACTCTGTTACTCAGAATAGATAATTTTTATTTGTACATCTTTAAGTTTATTGACTTTCTTTGGCTATCTGCATTCTACTATTGAGCTCATCCAGTATATTTTTATTTTAATTATTATATTTTTATTTTCAAATTGATTTTTCAGCTTTATTGAGGTATGATTGACAAATGCTGTATATATTTAAACTGTACAATGTGATGTTTGGTATACCTATACATCGTAAAATGATTATCACGCTCAAGCTAAATAACATATCCATCACCTCACAAGACTACCACTTGGATGTGTGTTGAGAACTACTTAGCAAATTTCACGTATACAATACATTATTAACAACTATAGTCACTATGCTGTATATTAGGTCTTCAAAACTTATTCATCTTATAACTGAAAATGTGTAGCTTTTAACCAACATCTCTCATTTTCTCCTATTCTCTTAATTATTGCGTGTGTGCGCGCGCGCGCGCGCGCCCGCCTGCTGCTGCTGCTGCTGCTGCTGCTGCTGCTGCTGCTGCTGCTGCTGCTGCTGCTGCTGCTGCAGGAGCGTGGCAGAGAGCGCAGCGCTCCCTGAAACCTGAGGGAAACTGGCAGGGGCCAGCTGAGGTGGGAGTAGGGCTCCGAAACCTGCAGAGCTGCTCCCGGGGTTGTGGCGGATGACAGGGAATAAACACAAAATGTTGCAAACACTGCTCTGCCGGGAAAGCAGACAGGGCACTTCCGTCTTACTGGAGAAGGCCGTGGTACATCCTCCTAGTGGGGAAGCCCCATCGCCCTTTGTTCCAAGGCTTTTATTGAAAAACTTATCAGTGGTCTAGGCAACAGGAATGCATATGTATAGTCGTTATATTAGCATGTTAAGTTTTACAGAGAATAGATACCTTTAAGAAAACAAGTGACAGGAATTCACTGATTTACATGGGTCTGAGAGGAGACCAGTCTAAACAAAAGAGAATGAACATAAGGGCAAGTGCCTTAATGATAAAGGGTAAGGGGTGTAAATAATGTGAAGGTCCTTCGCAGCATGAGCTGGCCAGAGATCTGAGGGAGGAACAAAGCACACTCTGAAGAATTTACTTTTAGACCTGATTACCCCCCGGACCCGGCAGATCTGATTTAAGGCTGTTTTTCCTGCACTGTTTCAAGCCTGAGCCAGGCAGGGGGAGGGAACCGCCAAGAGATAAGGAGACTGCTTCTTGGCTGCAATGAGGATTCCAGCCTGTCCAAGCCAAACCGAGAGGTGTGGGGGCCTTTTTATCCCTTCTCCTTGTCCCCCAATTTCTTATCTGCTGCCCATATCGGTCCATACCTGTCTTAGGTTGCCCCTCTCTCTCGAGGGGTCTTACACATCATTGGCAGGGACCATCCCAAGGCAAAGCAGAGGGAGAGGGGCTACGCCCCTGCCCAGAGTAACAGTTCAAGTCACCTCAGGAACCTGTTTCTCCAAGGCCTCCTGATTATTTCCAGCCTTGGGGCCCTCCAGCCTGTTACAGCTCCTGAAACCAGGGCCAGGCATTTTCCAACATAATTATTTTTAGAGAGAGGGGGAAGGGATGGAAAGAGGGAGAGAAACAGTGTGTGGTTGTCTCTTGCACGCCCCCTACTGGGGACCTGACCTGTAGCCCAAGCATGCGCCCTGACTGGGAATCAAACTGGCGACCCTTTGGTTCACAGGCTGGCACTCAATCCACTGAGCCACACCAGCCAGAACAAAAGCTGGAGCTTTTATTATGTTATTTTGCCAGGCACTTTCCACATGTAGGGCTAAGCTTAAGGAGCATGCAGAGATATAAAACCTATGTGGGTATACCTTACCCTGTTTGACCCACAGCTCCTTTAATGGAGAGAAAGTTCACCCTTCTTGGTAGTTCAGATGCTTATGGTTACTGCTGCAGCCACCACTATGGGTTAGCCAGTATACAACAGCATGGAAACAAGTGGTAAAAAAAGAAAAGAAAGATGGAGGCTTTTTCCCATTCCCTCTGTATGTTAGCCAAAAGAAGAGTGCTTCTCTTTGGGTTTTTTACTGCATCCTGGGACCCACTTGTGGTTTTCAGGCCCCTTAAGTCCAGGCTAGGTGATAACAAAAGAAAAACAGGAAACTTACTGCCAGTCCAGTGGTCCTTGAATTCCTTTTTTTTTTTTCTTTCAGGGTTTCATTTATTTATTTTTAGATAGAAGGGGAGGGAGGGTAAAAGAGGAGGAGAAACATTGAGAGCTCGCCCGCACCCCTGCCGGTGACAGAACCCACAATCCAGGCATGTGCCCTGCCCGGGAATTGAACCTGAGACCTTCTGCTTTGCAAAAGGACAGCGTCCAACCAAATGAGCCACATCTGTCAGGGTGGTGATTGAATTCTTGTCTTCTAACCCATTCTGCCAGCCCTGTATACTTCTTTGAGTCCACAGATAGCTAGCTGCCCATGCATTCTGTTCCGGTTTTATATCTGCATTTAGTGGAAGAAACATGGTGCAGTACACTTGCTCCAGCATAGTCTGAACTAGAACTTGGTATTTTATTTGTTAATTTTTCATTTTTAAAAGTCTGACTTTTTTTATTACAAAAATGATACCTCTACATTGTAGAAAACTTGAAAAATAAAGATAAACTTGGAAAATAAAGGTAAAATAAAGCAAGCTAAAATCTTCTGTAAACTCCTGAAATAAAGAAAACTAGTATTATTTTGGTGTATCATTCTTTTTTATTTCATATAAATATATTTTTTACCTTAACAATAAAAATAAATTAGATAGTACGTAAAACCATGCTGTTCATGATTTTAACCAGTAATTTTAGCACCCAGGTACTAGTGACTTGATCTAATGTTTTTACTAAATCTCTTTTCCATAGGTAGAGTGTCTTTGTCCTCAAATTGGCTGGGTTGAAATTGATCCTGATGTTCTTTGGCTTCAATTTGTTGCTGTAATAAAAGAATCTGTCAAAGGTAATTGGATATAAAAAGAAAAATAGTAAAGTATATTTTGTTTGTAATAAAAGTTTTCCTTAGGAGTTTATAGGATTTTATGGGTTTCCTAAGTTATAATTATACCCATAGTATTTTACTGGGGTCACAGTGTCAATCAGTTTTGATCAGGAATGGCAAGGCAAACAAAGCCTTATTTGGGGGTCAGAAACATACATTTGATTAGGAACCCCAACTCTGTTCCAAACATGAAAGAGGTACAGAGTTTATAAAGAAGAAAAAGCAGGCCCTTTTTCTGTCTTGTGCAAAAGGCTTATATAAGTTGCTTTGAAAGAACTGTGATTGGTGCTTATAAGCAAACTTGCACTATGCTATACACCATTAATTGCTTATGTATATTGCTAGGTGAAAAGTTTAGTTTTAAACAGAGAGTTCAGTGATGTAGAGTTGAGTTCTAGAAACTGTATCAGGATATAGCCCTTTGGTTTAGCCCAAGTTCAAACGTTCAATTTCAGGTGGAGGGTGTGAGTAGCTAGGTTTCCTGGGAGGCCCTTTGGCTCCATTTTAGATTGCTCTCATGACAATATCAACTCCATTTTGCTGGGTTTTTTTCCACAACACTTTCCCAGTAATTTTCAGGGGACATTTGCAGTATATAATGAACCACTTTCTCAAGGAAAGGTAACAGCAACTCTGTCCTCTGCTTGAAGCTTTTTTACAGCCACATTCTAAAAGGTTCATCTTCCTTCTTTATTCCAGGCTGTAGCTAGTGCCTATTTGATTTCCTGTGGTGTACAAAACACCAGCCGGTTATAAACAAAACTGCAACACAGTTCCTGTTGGCAGGAGTTACAACTGAGTAACCTTTATTATAAAATAATTTTTTTTTTTCTGTGTGGCCTCCTGATGCAAAGTGCTTTCCTGGCTGCAGCTGTGATCTGAACTCTTAGCTCTTTTAGAACGTTAAAAAACCTTTTTAAAAAACATAGTGAAAAATGACTTGTAAATTCTGAAAGATCTTTCATTTAATTTTTCTGGCCGAATTACTTCTCATCTTTTTGGTTTGTAATATTTCAAAACCTATAAAAAATTTGCAAGAACAGTGCATTGAATACTTGTATTCCTTTCTCTGAGAATCAGACATGTTTTGTAATGTTTATTGTATCATCCTCTACACATTTTTTTTTTTTGGCTGATCCTTTTGAGGATTGACTGTGACATACTAACCTGTTATCCCTAGATACGTCAGCATTATTTCCAAACAAAAGGAGTATTCTCCTATATCACCAGTGTAGTTACCACACAAGAAATTTAACATTGATACTTTGTCAACTGATGGTAGTTGGTGCCAATTCAATGCCAATAAGAATTCCCATTTTGAAGTGTGGTGAAGGAAACTTCATTCAGTGCAAAACAGCTCAATTGTGATACAGCCAGGCTGTGAAAATAGCATAACTGTGGAACCGCTCAGTTGTAATACAGCATGGTTGTAAAAACACCACGGCTGCCCTGGGGCCAGGCTTCTCTGTGGCTAGGCAGCTCTCCTGTACTCCAGCGGTCTGCTTTGTTCTGCACTGGTCTGCTAGGCTCTGCTCTAGTGAGACATCTTCAGTGTTTCAGCTCAGCCAGGGAAACGAAGTCTTCAGTCGTCTGTGGAAAGAGAAAGTAGAAAGTAGACTCCCAGAGCCAGAGGGTAGCTGGCTTATATGGACAGAAATTCCTGCCCCTGATTTCTGCCCCTGATTGGTCTGTTCATGCAAATGAGGATTCCAACTCCTTCCAGTTTGCTTAGTTCAAAAGACACTTCCCTGATTGGTCAGAATGGAACTGCTCTGATTGGTCGGTGAAGATGGTAATGGGGGATTTAGCTGTGCAGCTCCAATTGGGTAGGGAAAGCCTTAGTCCTATTGGCTGAAATAGAATTCCAGAGCTCCCTTATAAGGGCTGGCTCAGATGGCAGAAACAGTGCAGGCAGGCAGTTCAGTGCAGAGGTAGCTAGTTTAGTGCAGATTTCTTCATGGAATGCAGTTTTGAGAGGTCTGTGACCAGAAATGGCTGGTCAGCTCTTTTTAAAAAAAAAAAAAAAAAAAAAAAAAAATTGAGCCCACTTAGCTACCAGGAGCCCTTCTTAGTAGGTATATTCTTTCTCAGGGTCTGCAACGATAATAGTTTCTAATACTTAGTCTTGAATATTTCGCTATTATCCCAGCCATTAATAACTTTTGTTTTCAATCCTGAACCCAACTAAAGATGAGACATTGCATTTAGCAGTCAATGTGTATAACCTCCTTTAATCTAGATCATGTTCTTTGTGACATTTACAATTTACAAACTTATAGACCAGCTTAGTAGACTGTTCTGCATATTGGTGTTGTCTGATTATTTCCTCATGATTAGGTTCAGATTAAGAATTTTTGGAAAGAGTGCTGTGTCGGGGGTGATTTGTCTTCCTCTGCTCAAATTCAAGTTTCGTCTAATCTGCCCAGTGGGGTAAAAACACTTTTAAAAAGAACATCACAAAAAACTTGATATATTTTAAGATATTTGGACAAAAATCCCAACTATGTTTTTATCTGTATCCTAGCATCTTTTTATTTGGAAAATAAGATCTGAGTTTTAATAATGATACTAGTTTTGCTGGGGACTTTTCTTTGTTGTCATCTATCAGCTTAGCTTCTATTATGATTGATCATTGCTTAAATTGAGATCCAGTCTTTTAGTATTATCAAGAAGAAAATACAATCTCACTTTTAATAGTGTTTGTTTTTGCTAACACTTAAAGCAAAAAGGCCATTTTGTTATTAGAATATGACCTTTTTCCCCTTTAAGTAAAAAAAAAAAAAAAGCGAAACTACACCATCATCTCAGTAATGCTTTCTTTATTAGCTCCAATTGTGTTATTAATATTCCAGGTGGGTATTGGAAATGCCAGGGGGAACACTTTGTAAAATATATGATTGTTTAACCACTATGCTGTACACCTGTAATCAATACAAAATAATGTTGAAACAATTAAAAAAAGGAAAAAAGACATGGACAACTGGGTGGGGATTGACTGTGTGGAGGTGGTGCTGGATGGGATAGGGGAGAGAAACAGCAGAAAAAATTGGGAGAACTGTAATAGAACAACAATAAAAAGAAAAAGAAAAAAGAAAAATGCTAAACCTAGATTTTTTTTCTGAAGATTATACTCAATACTTTCTTTTCCATACTATAATTTATAAAGAAAAATTTCATTGGCTTTTAAACATGTGTTTTATCTATCTTTATTTTTAGCTGCAGGAATAGAGATGAATCAAATTGTTGGTCTTGGCATCTCAACACAAAGAGCAACTTTTATTACATGGAACAAGTAAGTATGATGAGCTCTCTATTGTTGGGTTCATACCATAGTGAATACTGCTGTGAAACCTGTTTGGGGAGTTTTAAATTTGTGAATTAAGAACAGTTTGCTTGGTTAAGACAGATGAAAGTAAGCCTGCTTTCTGGCTTATTAAAATATGTTCCCTGCACGTCATCTGGGTTTGACTTACATAAAATAATGACAATAAAAAGACTTTTGCTGTTATTAAAATTATCTATTCCTTTATTTTAGTGCGAATTGGTTTTTTCAAATGATCAACGATCTTAAAAATTAGGTTATAACTTAAAAGATTCAGGGAACCTAACAGATTTCAGAAACACAATACTATAATTATGGTTTATATTTTCAGTCTATTCCAAATTTAATATTTAAGTACATACAGCATAAGAAGTATATATAAATTAAACACAGTTATAATATTGTAATAGCTACCATATGGTGAAGATCTGTGATAGTACCTTTGGTTTCATTACCCTTGCAAAGAAACCTGCTATTTTGATATTGCCTATTTCTATGGAGAAAGAAACTGAGGCTCAGAGAAATAAGTAAATTGTTCAAGGTCATTTAGTTACTAAATAGAGACAAAATTCCAAATTATCTTTTTATCTCAGAGTATATGCTCTTTCCACTGTTCCCATTTGCCTTCAACACTGTAAAGTGTTTCTTTGTTACAAAGCACTAGACCCCAAAGAGCACCTTGAATTTGGGGCAATGAGGGATATTGGTGGTGGATATAGAGTATAAGGATAAGTCTGAGAAATATAATCAAAGTGAATTCATAGGGACTTGGCTTTTAAGTCAGTATTAGGCAAGAGGAAGTTCAAATTTAACAGTGTTTCTGGCTTGATGTTTGGGAGGAAATGTATGATAGAAATTATTGAGAATATAAGAGAAGGAATGAGTTAGGAGGTGATGAAGGTGGGTAGATGAGAACGTGATAAAGTGTGTGTCTTGGGGCATGTACATTTGGAGGTATCCCAAAAGTGGTTAGAACATTGGTCTGGTTTAGACTGAGGCAGGGCTCATTTTCTCCAGATGGGTACCTCTTTCTTTCAGGGCATAATGCTCCTCAGGTTGGTTGCTTCATCAGCAGTTCCCCTGAAACTCCCTCTACCCACTCCCTACTCAGTGACTTAGGCATAGGAAGTCTTAAATAGGTAATAATATATTTTTCAGATGAAGTAATAAATGAATTAAAGTCGTCAATGTACAATAGATCAGGGTTTCTACACAGTGGTACTATGGACATTTTGGGCCAGTAACTCTTTGTTGTTGGGGGCTGTCCTGGGCATTGTAGGGTGTTTAGCAACATTCCTGGCCTCTACTTACTAGATATCAGTAGCCTCCTTATCCAATTTTGACAAACAGAAATGTTTCCAGACATGACCAAATGTCCCCTGGGGTGGGGGTGGGGACACAATCACTCCTAGTTGAGAACTTTCTGTAGGCATAGTTTGGAGAAGTAGGTTCGTTCTGTGGTAGGGATTATAAGGATAGAAGAGAGAAGATGGAGGATTTGGATTACCAGCCAAGCTGGAGGCGTTGGTAGATACACTTTGCCTCCTCGTGCAAACAAAAGAAAGACAACAAATTTAAAAAACAAAAAACAGCCACAACTTCCAAAAAAATCGAACTGCATGGAAGTCCAACAACCAAGGAGTTAAAGAAGAAACATTCATCCAGACTGGTAGGAGGGGCAAAGACAGGCAGCCTGCCTGGGTGGAGAGAATGTGCGGCAAGATGGCAGCTGGTGTTCCTACATTTGTGTAGGATAAACCAGGAGGAACAACAGGGGAGCAAGACAGACCACACAACCCAGGGTTCCAGCGTGGGAAAAGAAAGCCTCAAAACCTCTGGAAATAAAAACCTGTAGGGTTGTGGCAGTGGGAGAAACTCCCAGCCTCACAGGAGTGTTCGCTGGAGAGACCCACAGCGTCCTAGAATGTACCCAAGCCCACTCACTGGGGAATCAGCACCAGAAGGACCCAATTTGCTTGTGGATTGTCGGGGAAGTGACTGAAGGCTGGCCAAGAGCCGAGCAAGTGGCATTGTTCCCTCTCCGACCCTTCCCCCACATACAGTGCCACAACACAGCGAAGTGAGTTGCTCTACCCTGGTGAATACGTAAGGTTCCGCCCCTTCCAACGTAAAGGGTGCACTGAGACAAAGAAATATGGCCCAAATGAAAGAACACGTCAAAGCTCCAAAAAAACAAAAAAAGAATTAAGTGACAAAGAGAGAGGCAGCCTATCAGATGAAGAGTTCAAAACACTGGTAATCAGGATGCTCACAGAAATGACTGAGTATGGTTGTGAAATAGAGGAAAAAGTGAAGGCTATGCAAAGTGAAACAAAGAAAAATATACAGGGAACCAACAGTGAAGGGAAGGAAACCGGGACTCAATGAATGATTTGGAGCAGAAGGAAGAAATAAACATGCAACCAGAACAGAATGAAGAAACAAGAGTTCAACAAAATGAAGAGAGGCTTAGGAACCTCTGGGACAACTTGAAACATACCAGCATCTGAATCATTAGGGGTGCCAGAAGGAGAAAAGGAAGAGCAAGAAATTGAAAATCTATTTGAAAAAATAATAAAGGAGAACTTCCCCAGTCTGGCCAAGGAAATAGACTTCTAGGAGATCCAGGAAGCTCAGAGGGTCCCAAAGAAGTTGGACCCAAGGAAGCACACACCAAGGCACATCATAATTACATTACCCAAGATTAAAGATAAGGAGAGAATCTTAAAAGCGGCAAGAGAAAAGGAGACAGGTTCCTACAAAGGAGTTCCCATCAGACTATCAGCTGATTTCTCAAAAGAAACCTTGCAGACAACAAGGGGCTTGAAAGAAGTATTCAAAGTCATGCAAGGCAAGAACCTGTATCCAAGATTGCTCTACCCAGCAAAGCTATCATTTAGAATGGAAGGGCAGATAAAGTGCTTCCCAGATAAGGTCAAGTTAAAGAGTTCATCATCATCAAGCCCTTAATTATCTGAAATGCTAAAGCGTCCCGTCTAAGATGATCAAAAACTATGAACAGTAAAATGACAACAAACTCACAACTATCAAAAATTGAACCTACAAACAAAAATGAATTAAGCAAGCAAGTGGAACAGGAGCAGAATTACAGAAATAGAGATCACATGGGGAGGGAAATTTAGCAGTGGGGAGGGCGAGGGTGGAAAAGCGGGGGAAAGGTACATGGAATAAGAAGCATAAATGGTAGGTACAAAATAGACAGGGGAGGATAAAAATAGTATAGGAAATGGAGAAGCCAAAGAACTTATATGTGTGACCCATGGATATGAACTGAATGGGGGCGGGGCGGGGGATGCTGGTGGGAGAGTTGGTGCAGGGCAGAGGGGAATAAAGGGGAGAAAAAAATCGGACAACTGTAATAGCATAGTCAATAAAGTACACTTTACAAAAAAGACAGAGGATTTGGACAATGAGTCTCCCACTCTCCACCCTCGACACCAAATTTAGAGGGAGTTAGGGAGCAAAAGCTGGCAAACAGGACCAAGGTATATCTGGGAAGTGGGTGATATGGAAATAGAGGCAGGATAGTCTCCTTAGGGAAACAACTGATTGTAAGTATAATGATGGGTTGGATTTTGAGATTATGTCATTGTCCACAGAGCTTGCTTTCATCAGAACCCCGTATCAGGTCATTCATGACTTGAAGCTCAGAGAATTAGGAAGGAAAGTTTTTATGTTGCAGTCAGATCATCTCACTTTTAGGGGAAATATGAATCAGATTCCAAGATAGGTCACTTTTCTTATTGGTGTTGCTGTTGTAGAAGGGTAAGATTTCTTGAAACAATTGTTCCTTCTTCGGTATTCTTCCTTGGGATGTTTGGTTTTTTTTGAGAGTTTTAGAAACTTTGCATGTAGGAACTAAAATACTGGATATTAAAAAAAAGACACAGAAGATTTCATGCTTCTTTTACATTAAAATAACAACCTTTTCTGCTCACAGAGCCCCAGTGAGCTATTGTGGGTTATAATGCTGGCAGGTTCTACAAGCTCCCTGACATTCTTTGCTCATTTTTGGCAGAAAAAAGAGACTGGACCTTGTGGAATATGTTCATTCCAGTTTCAGCCAGCACCTTCTCTTCCCAGCTCATTGTCTTTCCTCCTGTGTCAATGGGGGGTGTTTCTGCCTTTGTCACCACAGAAACATTATTTTCCTTTAGGTACTGTCAAGGAGTCTAAAATTTTTGAACATCCTTTTCTCCTTGTTCCCCCATTCTCCCTGGACTTCTATGCCAAAAAACTTGTTTTTTTGTTTTTTTTTAATTAATTTATTTTTTCAAATACATTTGTCTCTGCCTACCCCCCACCACTTGTTTTTTTATTAACTTCTGTTCAGTCTTTCAGTTTTCTTCAAATTCTTCAGGTTAAAAATTTTTCCAATATATTTAATCAGAGGTGTATTATAAAATAACTCTTGGTGATATCTCCTCCATTTTGGTTGCTTTAAATTTCTTTGTTCTAAAAAAATCATAAGCCCTTTTTTTCTTTAGTCACTGTCTGTCTGTCAGGGAGGCTTCTGCCAAAAAACCTCAGATCAAAGTGTGCACCAATGAGTACCATAAACTCAGTTAAAGGAACCAATTGCACTTAGTAACTGTGCATTGGAGGGAGTAAGGCACTGTGTTGGTTGATGAACTAAAGATAAAGATGAAGAAGAATACCAGTCTTCAAGGAATTTATAGTCTCGTAATACAAGTACATAAGCTAATGTGTTCCCGTAGCACCAAAAATACCTTTTTTTTTTTGTAGTACTTGATACTTGTGTCAGTGGTTCTTACCAATTACTTATGACACAAAATACATTAGGAGCCACAGAATGGTATAATGTGTTAGAGAGGCAATTAATTTACAGTATTGACATTCATGTTTTTCTTACATTCCTCCATTTATTGTTGGCAGAGATAAAATAAACCTAAATCACTGCTAAGTGAATATCGGACTATATGCTACTG